GGACCCAGGGCCGCCCCTCCCCCTACGTGCCAGCCCCTTTGCTATGTGAAGGCAGGGATCTTGTGTTGCCCTCCTGTTTTTAATACTAGCTGACTCTCCATGCAGCAACAGCTCTGCATTGTCTCCAGCTGCACCGTTAGAACCCCGTTCTCCCACACGTGTTCTGCCCTGTGCTCAGGCCTCCTTTCTTTCCGTTCTCCACTTTGGACCCCACCATACTCTCTATGTTGGTCCTGGTGCCTGGATGAGGATGTTGTCATTTTTCCTCCCGTTCCTGCATCTCCATTCTCAGCCAGTGACACTGCTAAAATTCCCTCCAGAAAACTTAGCCCCAGAGAGGCCAGGCCACTCCAGAAGCCTGTCCTGCCTCGTGGGCCACTTCAGACACATGTCCTTGTCCTTGCCTAGTACTCCATGTCCCAGACAGGTGCACATGGCTACACCTGTCCACAGGATACACTTCACACCTCCTGATGCCTTGGGCCCTTGGCCATGCAGTCTGGGCTGAGCAGTCCAGGAAGATTGCACTTGGTGTTTGCATGTAGCTAGGACTATGCAAGCCAAGGCCTGAGTACTGGAGTAGGGTGAGGAGGGAGGGGATTTGCAGAACAAAGTACCATTTTTACAGCCTTCTAAATCCATCTGGAGAGCTTGGCTGATCTGGCGGGAGTCCCACAGTTTGCTTCTCAGCTCTTGTTTTTATTCAGTTTTTCAGGAGCTTGGAGTACATAGAACTGTTTTTTAAAGAGCGTAACAACAGGATAGAGAGAGTGCGTGCTAGTTTGGGTGAGGAGAGCTGGATTCTTGGGGTGAGGCCAGAAGATAGTGTCTTAGGAGAGTCTCCTGCCCCTTGCTTCTGGGAACGCAGACACCTGCAAGAGGCGCTCCTCTTGGGAGGAGGAGAGGCTCCTGGGCCTGCAGGCATTGCCAGCCTGTGGTGATGGAGGGGGAGGGGTGCTCTGGTGGTGCTTTTTATCAGGCGTCTGGTATGCTTCACACAGGGTGAGCTAGGGCATGTGGAATTCTCAGAGGTCGTGGGCCCCTCTTCAGCTTAGAAACTCTGCTGCCCAGAGTTGAAATTCCTGATTCCTTGTCCTACCTTCCAAGGCTCTGCCCAGTTGCTGAGGCCTCAGGTTCAAATCTTGCTTCCTCACTTGGAGAGCTGTCCCTTCCATGGTGGAGCTGCAGGTAAGGTATTCAGGTGTCCTACAGTATTAAAAGCCTAACAAGGGACACCTGAGGTTGCAATGGCCTGTGCCTCCCACAGGGCACATGAATGGGGAGGGTGGGACTGAAGGATCCTTGCTCCCTGGGGTTGTGGTCCAATCTGGGATCCAAAAGATATACTCCCTTTGGAAAATTGTGGGCTCAGCCCTCCTTAGAGGCCTGGCTGGCCAGGAATGAAAATCAGTTGAAGCGGGAGGGCAATCCTTTCGGTGATCGTCCCCAGGTATTGATGAGATAGCAGGTGGGCCGTCTCTCCCTGTGCAGGGCTTTTCACATGTCATTTTGTTTGTTTATGTTTTTGTTTTTATGCAACTTAACCAACTGCTTACTCAGTTGACTGGGCCTTTGTAGTCCATGTCTGTACATTTATGGGTAGGACCTGGGGGGGAGTGACCTGGGTGGCAGGGATATGTATATTGGCTGCGATTGTTCCCTGGAGGCTGAGATAACAGGCAGGTCTCTGGGTGCTGCTTAATCTCTAACTGTTCTGTGATGAAAGAAGAGCTGAAATTCCAGGTCTTTTTTTTTTTTTTTAAATAGGGTCTCTCTATGCAGTCCAGGATAGCCTTGAACTCACTTTGTAGCCCAGGCTGGCCTTGACCTCTCAGCAATCCTGCCTCAGCCTCTTGAGTGTTGGGATTATAGGCGTCTTCCACCGGGCGTGGCCTCCAGGTCTTGTGGAAGGAGCTGTGTCATTCTCTTGTGTAAGAGCTGCTCTTGGGTATATGGACAGGATCTAGCAGAGGTGCTTGGAAGAAAAGCCCCATGGTCATCTCCTCCAACCTCATCGTTGGACAGACCGGGACACTTGAGTCCTTGGATGAGGGGCCTGTCTGGGGGCTGTCAGCTAAGCCCTATGGTCTTGGCTTCTGACCCAGTGTTTTCGCCTGGTCTGGTGCAGGAGTTCCTTCATGTGTACCTACAGCAACCTTGGCACACCACGGGCCTTGGTGAATGTCGGGGGTTTGGGTTTGGCTTTTGTGTTTTTAGAGAAAACTCACATGAGACACTTTACTGAGTGCCTTAATGGAGCACTAACTCAGAGCTGGAAACCACAGCCAGTTCCAGCAGTCCAGAAAGGCCTGGCTCCAGGTGGTCCGATTTGCGCAAGTCTTTGAATAATACAAATAGTAATCATTTATTAAATACCTGCTGTATGCTGTGTTTACATTGTGCTGGATTGTGGAGAGCGTAAAACAGTCTGTGCCGTTAAGGTGCAGGATTTAGTGTGCTGTATCCGAATGTGTGCGAGGTGTCTCCTCGGACCAGGTTGTATGAACAGTCATTTCAGAGCCCTTCTCTGCCTCCTACTCTCTGGTCTCCCAACACCACCAGGTGCTGCTTTTCTGCCTTTTTACATTTTCTGTTGTGAACCCCTGGTCCCTTCATAATCAGAGAGGAACAGCAATAGCTGTCATAAGCCAAGGCACAGACGGAAGCGCTTCCTTGGTTTCCTGCCCCCATTGGTCATGCTAGTATGGCTTTTCTTTGTTGGTTTTCATTGGAGGAGAGCAAAACTCATCCTTCACCCCAGATTTCAGAGAATTGCCCCACCCGTTTGTTTGTTAGGCCCATGCCATTTAGAGAACCAGTGACCGCCCACCCACCCTCAGTTCCTGGAACCATCATCGACTCACTCGGGCTTCATAGGAAACCCACACTTTAAATTGAAAGATCTTCGTAAGTAATGCAACAGCGTACTTACAAGTTCAAGTTTATATTTAAGTTTTTTTTCTTGTTACAACATATCTCAAAAATATGAAAAGTCAAGCAAATACCCACTTAACAGAGGACTTGAGCATTTTACTGTAAAATAGATCTACAGCTGTCCAATCTAAACCAAGTAAGTCAAAATGTCACCTACCAAAGAGATAGGAACAAGTTAGTGAATGATGGTGTAGTATGTTAAGTCACTTAAATCCTGGTCCAGTTAGGAAGGATTAGAGCCAAGTACTCACACAAACATCTGAAAGAACTTGAAAGAAAATACAGATAGAGGTTCAGCTCACCCCAACTTTTTAAAGTGATATATTCCTTCTACAGAGGCATACTTGTTGGTTACTAATCACAAAAAGTTGCATTTTCAAGGAACCACTAATCACCAAGAAACAGTTATGTCGCTAATGGGTAGCCCAGCAGATGTTTTTTTATGGTCGCCTCCTTATAGTGCTAGGCAAGGCGGGTGTCTTCTCCCTGTTTTCAGTGGGCTGGTGCCCTAGGACTTGGGAAAGGAGACATAGGTCCACGTAGTTTGTGGATGCTGAAAACTTGCAGGCACATTAGAGTGGTGGGCAGTGTCTTTCATTGCAGAGGATGCGTTTCTGAAAACGACTTGTAGTTCACTCCATCTCTTTAGCTAGGGTGTGTCAGACACCCCTCTGTGCCTGCACTGGGTGGTCTTTGTGCCCACACTCAGCTTTTCTGGCTCCCAGAACACAGCCCATCCCATCAGTCTTCCCCAGCCTGCAGCCACCGCAGCCACAGTTTCCCCCTTTGTGTAGGAGGCAGGTTCAGCGGGGCCCAGTGGCCTGCCCCTGGTCCTGCTACTTGCTGGGACGGACGATTGTAGTTGAACCCAAGTGTGTTAGTTTGTTTTGTTGCATGCAGTGTGTTCATGGGAACCTGCATTTCCTTGCCTCGGAGCTCGTGGTGAGGGCTTGGTCCTGCTGTATGGATGGCTGAGGTCATCTCACATGGTGATGGGAGGGAAGCTGTGTTTATGAATGAGGCACTCTGTTTCTTGACCATGGGACGCTTCTTCCCAGAGCACTGGGAGAGAATCAATGTTAAGTTTCCCACTCTGAGCCTCGATGGAATTTGGGGACCCCTGAGGTGGATGTAAGGGACTTTTGCAGGAAGAACAGCTAGAGGCTTATTATTAGTGGAGGGAGCAGGGATCAGGCCTGTGGCTTCCTCAGGGCCGCAGTGTGACATCTCAGCTTCAGTTACGTCTGTCTAAGCACAGAGCCAGGCAAAGACATGCTGGTCACACAAACAGGTTGGACACAGATTGTTGGAAAGGGGCCAGGCTGGGAGAGCAACGTCTGCTCACCCCTGGGAGCATTTCTTGAGGCAGATGTACTAGGTGGGCGCCAGCGTAGCAGCATTTAAAGAGAGAAGTTATGACAATAACGACAGTCCTCCATGTGCACCTCCACCCCAGCCCCTGACCTTGAGGGGCCCAAAGACATAGTGGTCCTCCTTCACACTGTCCTGGGACAGTTCCTTAGCTAGGTATGTACTGTTATGCCAGCCACTTAGGGTGCCAGAAATTGTAAACTTGCTTCTCCTGCCCTAAAAGAGCATCTCAAAAGAGCTGGGTGGGCAAGGCCAGGGCATCATGATGTCAATAACAGCCCCTGTGGATCTCGCAACTGCTGTGCCTGGTACCATGCAGAGTTCCCTTGGCACTTCCTCGCCTGCCTTTCTTTCTTTCTTTCTTTCTTTCTTTCTTTCTTTCTTTCTTTCTTTCTTTCTTTTTTTTTTTTTTCGGAACCGGGGATTGAACTCAGGCCCTTGCGCTTGCCAGGGAAGCGCTTATTCCACTGAGCCATCTCCCCAGCCCTCTCTCCTGCCATTCTTGCCCCAGCGGTGGGCATTGTGGCTGTGCAGGTCACTTCCTGCCTCTGAGTACCGCATCTGGGACTAGGGGGAGGTGGGCTTCACATGCAAGATGGCCTATAAGGAGGGATGGGAGAAGGGAGGGCAGATGGGACTAGAATTTGGGGTCTGGCTGGAGGTTTGGCTACTGACCTTTGCCTTGTTTCCGACAGAGTGCAGCAGCTGCCCCGAGCCCTGTGCTTGGCAACATTCCCCCCAACGATGGGATGCCCGGAGGCCCCATCCCACCAGGTTTCTTTCAGGTACGTGCTGGGCTCTAGGACCTGTGCTGCTCTTGCACAGTGGGCTGGGCGGGCGGCAGGCAGGACAGCAGAAGAGTACAGCTCGGTTTGCCATGGTCTAAATACAGTCGCTTTGTGCTAATTGAAACCCTCCCCTTCCCATCGCTTTCTCCCTGCTTCCAAGAGCTGAGAAGGAAGAAAAGGGGCGGGGACACAGACCCCTCCTGCACTTGGTGCCCCTGTGCCCACTTTGTCTCCTCCTCACCCGTGTTACAGGCACAGCACTGTCTGCCCCTGGTTGAGGAGGTAGCAGGGCTACCTCCAAGCCAGTGCGAAGCTTTCTTTAACAAAAGGCTTCTTTTCTTTCTTTTTTTAAATTTTCATTCTTTTATTTTTTTAATAAGTAAACTGTTCTTTGTTTCTGTTTTGTTGCCGCTGTTGTTGTCATTGTTTATTTTGCCTGTCCAAACTACAAACCTTAGGCATTATGTAAAAAAACAAAGAACCCACCATCCTGGCAGGTCTCAGAATCCTTTCCCTCTGGTTAACCACTTGATTTTTTCCGAGTGTGATCACAGACGGCTTCCCACAAGCATCTGTGCCCGCCCTGTGCCCCACATAGGCAGGAACAGATCCCACGTGGGTCCCAGCCCTGCCTTCTCTGGGACACCTTGTCGGGTCTTTCTGGGGAGCTGTGGAGACTTTTCTTTTGTTGGGGCTGGCTGTGCTCCCATGCCCTCTGCATGGCCTCCTGTGTCCCTTTCTTCTCCCCCGGTAGCTCATTCTGCACAAGCCAGATCGGTCCTGAGAATTGCTGTCTTGCAGAGGTCAGCATGCAGGGCTGGGAGGAGCTTTTATGATGAAGCTGTTGATTGTGACATTGCTCACTCATCCACGCCTGTTGGGACCAAGTTCCAGCATGTGCCCGACGCTCTGTGCCTTCCAAAAGGCTGGCCCTCTTGAGAAGGATATGAGAAGAGCTGTGGTGTAGACATGGGGGGAGAGAGTTCTCCTGTGAAACCCGAGAATGCGCAGCTGGGACCAGTGAGGCAGAGTCCAGTGAGAACATAGCGCCTGTGTGTACCCAGCAGCATGGAGGCCAGCAGCTGGCCCTGGGGGTGAAGGATTCCTTGGCACTTGCAATAGCTGGGCAAAGACAGGACAGATTCCTGTCAGGAAAATGCTCTGGCTTTTGAAGATTTCACATTTTGGTTGATGTCAGCTTCTAGGGGAGGAAGGTTACAACACATTGCTCACAAGTGAAGGAAGCCACCAGTGAAATTTGGGTATCGCTTAAAACAAGCAGCAAGTTACCTGAGACATTGGCAGTGAGAGGAGAGGGATGCAGGAATGGCACTTGGGGGCAGAAATGGCAAACTGTGTATCTGTATCCATTCTTGGCAGACTGGCAGAACTGAAACTTGCGCAATGGGTGGAGGCAGGTACAGCCTCAAACCTCAGGTGTGTGAGGCTCTAGGTCAGACCAAAGCGAGCGTTTTAGAGCCCTGGCTCGTATTAGGACCACAAATCTATGAAAGAGGAGCTGAGAGACTAAGATCCCTGGAAATCCATGAATCCTAGAAAGGTGGGAGCTGAGTCAGCTGCTGCCCTGCACCAAAGGGGAAGCCAGGAGATTGGTGTCTGAGGAGAACCCCCCACCCCCAGGGCTAGCTTCTTCCTGGCCCTGCAGGTGGGCATTGTGTGCCCATCTGGGGCCTTTCCTGCTGGAATTTGGTACGGTTGGGAGTTGAGTTCTTTCAGGGGTCAGGGATCCTTTCCCCTGATCCCAGGGATTTCCTGAATAAAGGTGCATGGTACATGGAGTCCCCCCAGGAACTAGGTGCCATGTTCTACCCACATGCTGTCTGCTGGTCTCAGTGTCTGTGAAGGCCACTCTGGTGGGAGTAGGTGGACAGTAGCCAATTGCAGTTTTAAAAATAGGTCATTGGCTTTTATTTTGACCTGTGTCTAGCACAGAGAACAGGTCAGCCTGATATGTGGGCAGCTCCCAGCTTCCTGCTTTGGTATAATTGTCCACGGTCAAGACCTAATTCTGGACATTCTTCTTGGGTCCTCCCCTGGGACCAGAAAGTTCAGTCTGATTCCTATTCTTACTTAGCCACTGCCACTACATCAAGTCAAAGTAACTTTTGGACTCTCTTGACTAGAGGTCACCTTTGTCACCAGGCAGGGTGAACTGTCAAGAACTGACTGGGTTACTGGCAGGGAGCTGCATACCTTGGACTCTGTACATATCCTGGGTGGCTCTGAGAGATTGTTTGCTTACTTGGTAGCATCATTTCCTCTTAATTTAGATGCAGTAAGGGTCCTTCCTGGCTGTGCTGCTGAGCACATGGGCTGGGTCCTAAGGTAGAGGCAGACAGCCTGTTTCCGGAGCAGGTCTGCTCACGACAAGCGGGTTAGCTATTGATCACCAGCACTGCCCCTCACTCATCTCACAGGTGGCTGCTCTGATATTAGAAAAGGAAATAGAGATGATGTCAAGGGTTTTATCTGCTGCCAGCAGTTGTCTTTCTTTCCCCCTTGACCATGGCCTCAGCACGTGGCTGTCATAGAGGGAACTCTGCACTGGGGAGGCTGGTCCAGCTGTGCCCAAACTAACTCCCATGGTGGCCAGCCCAGTTTTCATGTCAGGACTGCACTACCACTTGGACCTAAATTTAGAAGCCAGGGGGCACCCTGGCATGGTAAGGGAGCAGCTGCATGTCCCCTGCCCCATCCTGGCACCTTAAAAGGCAGCGCATAAGACTTCCTGTCTCTGGCCTCTGACTGCCAGGCTCTGTGTGATTTGTCTTCTTTGGTGTCCAGGTTACCAAGATGGGCAGTAACTGTCTCATCCTGTGGCATGACATGATGAGATGTTTGGTAGCAAGTTAAGGGCCAGGAGGGTGATGGTTTAGGAACTGATATGACCACACCTCATTTTCGGCAGTACTGTGGGGTCAAAACAAAGCTCTAATCTTGGCCTCCCTAGCACCTGACATGTAGTAGGGCCATGGTATATGTTTGAGCTGAATTTATTTGTGCTACTCACATCACAGGAGAGGAGTCTTGCCAGCCCTAATGTAGTAGACCCGGCATTCTGACCAGGAAGTATCTCAGAGGAAGCAGGCTTGGGATTGGTATTCTGGAGTTGGCCCTGCACTTGCTGATTGACCTTGGGCAAGAAGCTTCCATCTCTGAGCCCTGGTTTTCTCACCAGGAGATAGAGCAGGCTGGACCAGATGGTCTCTAAGGGCCTTCCAACTTTGATTTTCTGCTTTGGATCCAGGCATATTTTACATAATCAAGCAGTGGCTTTTTTATTTTTCTTCATGCAGCTTAATTCCTGCTGTGCATCTGGCAAACCCAGGTTGGCCTTGGCCAGGTCCACTGCTCTGGGTGGGTCCTCTGGTTCCTTGGCCCCATGGGGATGCTGTCTGATAGGATTTCTGGGCCCACGAGTGGGGGAATTACAGGAGAGCAGGGGTCACGGGGAACAGAGCAGTAGATACAGGCTGGGCTTTTTTGTTTAATTCCAATAATTGTTTTCAGTTATGTAGCATTTGTTTTTTAAAGATTTATTTATTTATTCATTCATTCATTCATTTATTTTGTGTGTGTGGCCAGCTCAGCCCACCAGGGGGCAGGGCTGGCTGGCATGTGGTGCTGGGGGATTGAACCGCGGTCCCTGTGCTTTGCTTAGCTTAGCTTGTTCTAAGTAGGTGCTTTAGACCACTGAGCCATCTCACCAGCCCTGTAGCATTTTTAAGTGTGCAGTTTGCTTTCACTTTGCAGTGTTTTTCTGCAGAGGAGGTGTGGCTGCTTGGGAGATTGGGACTCAGAGAGGTGACGGGCCTGTCCCATGTTACCACCCTAGGGCTATGGCTGAAGTCCAACCCTGGCTGTCCTGTTCGTTCTTAGCACTTAAGTTCAAGCATAGATCCCTGTCTGATTGTCGGGAGAGAGTGAGACTGTGGCCATCTTTCCTCAGAAGTAGCAAATAAATTTCTATTCAGATGCCAACTGGGCTTGACCCACAGCAGCAGCTCAGAATACTGTGGAGAGTGATTCTGAACTCGTGTCACAGGTACCATTTAGTGGTGTCCACCACAAAGATGTGTATTTGTTTGTTGATCTGATCAGGCCCATACTTCTTATTTATAGACTTGGAAGTGGATCCCAGAGGGGGGGGGGAGGAATTAGTGCAGTCATTGGCCTCGCCTGGTGAACAAGACACAGGGCTTGGTTCTAGGCTAGAACTGAACCACTAAGTGCACAGTGCTTGCTGGGAAACTGGAGAGGCGGCTGTGCAGTTGTTAGGCCTTGTTGGAGAGGGTGGGTTCTGTCCAGTGAGCAGCAGGAAGCCACTGGATCATCTGGTCTGGCTAATGCCTGGGCCATCTTTGTTCTGAGCAGTCCTCACATGCTTGCTGCAGTGGCTCTGTAGAGGCAGGGACAAGGGCACTGTAGCTGGTGCTCCAAAAATAGCTGACCACATGGACACTGGCCTTGGAGAGGCTCGGCAGAGGCCACGAGGTTAAAGACTGCACCTTCTCTGGAAAACGGTGGAGGGCCTAGCTCCCTTTGCCAAAAGCTGTCTGTCCTGCTCCCAGCCTCCTGGGTAGTTTCTACTGTGGTGGGGACAGTAAGGAATAGTCAGCATTGTCCCCATTCTAGTGGGTCTTGTTTCTGCCAGCCAGGCTCACATACCTAGAAGTGAGGTTGCAGGCCTCCCCTCACCCCATCTGGGGAAAGGGCTGCAAGGAGCAAGCCATGTGCATGCCCAGAAACCATAGAGGTAATAGAGGGAAGACACACGGGGCCCTCAACCTTTACTACTGCAGTCATGGGGACAGCTCCTCTCTGTCTCTGGTAGACATAGCTGGGGATTCCCCAGGAGTCAAGACAGGCTCAAGAGGACCCTGATGGCCATTCGAAGTCTTCAACACCCTGCTGAGTAGGAGCAATTTAGCCCTGCCTCTCTGAGGCTTTCGCTTTAGCTCCCAGGTCCCAGTACA